ACACACACACACACACACACACACGCACACACACATATATATAGACACACATAAACATCATACATTACCGATATGTGTTTTCCACTATCGCGACAGATATTTGTGATTTTGGCTTCTTCCACATCCTTCTGGAAGCTTTCCTGTACGCTCTGTTTGGACCAGTCCAGCTTCGACAGGAAGTGGATGGCATCATGCCCAGAATATTGTTCTAGAAGTTCGTATTGCAGTCTGGGACACGCAGAGGGAAATAAACACAAAAAAGAAAAGAGAAACAAGCTGAAAAACTTATTTTTCCAGACAAAATATCATCATCATCATCATCATCATCATCATCATCATCATCATCATCATCATCATTGCCTTTTTTCACCCTGGATCAGGATATAGGCCACGAGCAAACACTCTCCACCTTCCCCTATCATGGGCTAGTCGCTTGATGTCACTCCATGTCTTCCCACTTTTCTGTACATCAATTTCCGTGACTCTCCTTCAGGTTCCACGTGGTCTTCCCCTTGATCTTTTACCCTGTGGGTTCCAATCTAATACTTTCTTTGTTTTGCAGCTGCTTGACGTACTGAGACAAAAAATAATGGTTACATAACATAGTACTACATGCATGTATAAGAAAAGACAAACAAAAGAGAAAAATCATTACTTGTTTTCTTTTCCCTTTCCAAGGCAAAAATATTATGAAATTTTGCCTGGACGAATGTACAAAGAGAGACGAAAAAGACAATAAATTACCTTTTTTTTTTTTCAAACAAGATATTAGTTTACCAAGTTTTTAAATCTTCAGAGCAATACTATCTAGATCTGATCAAATCATGTCAGTTTTAAAACGTTTTATCCACCATTACAGAATTAGTTAGAGCGCACTTTATTTTCAGTCACATTCATATCACTCTCTGTTATATTCGGGTCGGGGAATTCTACACTCTCGATCATGAAATTCCAAGTGTCTTCCGGAACTACGTTCCTGTTTTCCCAAATCAGTTTTCATCGCCTGCACTGTATGATTCACGGGAAGACGAGAATGTTTCTGAGTGTTCTATGGTCTGCTGGAGTAATAATTGTTGTAAAGCGCATAGAGAATGCTGTAGAGCGTAAATATACGCTATTATTATTATTATTATTAGTAGTAGTAGTAGTAGTAGTAGTAGTAGTAGTAGTAGTAGTAGTAGTAGTA